GCCAGAACAGGGTTATTAACACTGTGCTGTTCGAAATGTGGCACTGAAAAAAATTAATGCTTTGTGCATCTCAGCAATATTAATTGAGTTGTTGGCACGAGAGTGACGAGCTTCAGGATAAACATTAATTCCTAGGGCACACAACAGTGTGGCCCATGGGGTCACAGGCTGCACCGTGAACGTGTGTTTTGAGTCACTCATTTGGAGGAGTCAAGGGTCCACATTTGCAGATTCTCCTCCATGTGATGCCTGAGCGCCACCTCCCCCGCAGCAGAGACCCCAGCCTGTGTGTTTTGTAGCCTCAGTTTCTTCTATGAATTAAGGAGGGTAGACCAACAACGGCTTTCAACTTCCTGTTTTATGTTTAAAGACACAGAGGTTTACAAATGGATGTTTTGTGTCCTTAGCATCTGGTGTGTTTGTGAGTAGAGTTTCCTTCCTGCTGGCCCGGCCGCCCCCACTCAGCTCTGACCCTGCAAACCCGAGTTGCTTCTGGGACCCATCCAAAGAATCCCGGGTTTCTCAGGATCACAGTATAAAAACCAGTGAGCCAGAGCTACACTGCCCAAGTTCTTACTGTGCAGTTGGAGGTACATTTTTACCTAGTGACTCAGTACACATTCACAAACAGATAACTGAAAGTTTTACTAAGGCATATTTCTCGTGACAGGAAGTGCACTCTGTTTTCTAGTCTACTTTCTTCTATTTCACATTTTTTTTTTTTTTGAGATGGAATTTCGCTCATTACCCAGGCTGGAGTGCAATGGCACAATCTCGGCTCACCACAACCTCCGCCTCCTGGGTTCAAGCAATTCTCCTGCCTCAGCCTTCCGAGTAGCTGGGATTATAGGCATGTGCCATGATGTCTGGCTAATTTTTGTATTTTTAGTAGAGACAGGATTACTCTCTGTTGGTCAGGCTGGTCTTGAACTCCCAATCTCAGGTGATCCACCTGCCTTAGCCTCCCAAAGCGCTGGGATTACAGGTGTGAACCACTGCACCTGGCCACTCTATTTCACTTTTTAAAAGCCAGCGGGAAACCACTCAATGATATGAAAATCCACTAATAAGTGGCCATCCACAGTCTGTAAACATTAGCTTAGAAGATCTCCAAGATACCAATATTTCTAGTACGGACAATTTCTGGCATTAACAAAGCTGTGATCCTGTTAGAGAGTGGCAGAGACCCCGCCCCCTCCTGTCCCCACAGTGGGGTGTCCTACCTGAATCACCGGACTAGGAAACGAATTCTCTGCACATCTTTGCCATTGAAACGCCTACTCCGCAAGAGCCAGGGTGTGGAGAGGGGCACGCCAAATACTGATTTTTCTAGAGCTCTGCACTTGCCTCACCCCACACCTAATCCCAGGGAGATTTGGGGCAAGGGGCAGTGATGGTGGGGTACATTTGGCTGGGTTAAAACAAACATAGCAAAAATAAATACATACATAAAAGTCAGAAGAAACAAAGCTCTCTCCCTGCCTCTGTGTGAATTTGGGTCACACCCATCATGCCCAGATGGACCATGGCTTCCATTTCTTAGAGTTCAGGGAGAATTGCTTCCCCACACCCACAGTGATGCAGAAAAATGTCCCTCGGGACTCCCATAGTGGTGAATCGGAAATGTCTTTGCACTTTGCACAGCAAAGGGTTTTTACAGGGTTTGGGCCAAGGGAATATGTGGTAGCCATCAAGGGGTGAAAGCGTGTGAGACCCACAGGTTAAAACCTGCGTGAAGTCACTGATATTATTACGTGAAGATAAAACGAACCGTCATGATGAATTGAAAACCCAGGTTACAGGCTGCACACAGTGGCTCTCGCCTATAATCCCAGCCCTTTGGGAGGCTGAGGTGGGAGGATCACTTGAGCCCAGGAGTTCAAGACCAGCCTGGGCAACACACAGAGACCTTGTCTCTATTTTTTCAAAAACAAAACACAACAGCAACAGTAACAAAGCAGGACATAAACAGCTCAGCAAACGAGCAAACAAAAACCTGAATAAAATGTCACAATAAGAAGAGGGGTCGTCAGCCTTCACATGTCATCTGCTCGTTTTTACAAGGAACACGTACTTCTGTTGTAATCTGGGGACAAAAACCACTTTAAAAGCCTGCCATCCAGAGGCACATTATCAAGTCTGGCCAAGGGAGTGCCAGATAAACGCACTTACTAGCTAACGCCGTGGTGTTGATGCCAGTTTGAACAGACAGGACCTGAAAATGTGCAGACACCCTCCTCAACGTGCACCCCTCATCTTTCAGGACCTTCAGCCCTTACTCCTCCTGGCCATGTCACCATGGATGCCACAGAAACACCTCATAGTGTGGAGTGCAGAGAGAAAGGGGATGTTGGAGGAGGAGGGTGCTCTGTTTCGTTTTTCAAGAATCATCCTGAAAATCATTTGAGACAAACGCAGAGCCTCGGGTTCTGGTCCTGACTGTGATCTCAGGCAAGTTTCGTTTCTTCCCCGGGTCTTGGTCTCCCCGTTGTCAAATAAGCAGAGTGGATTTTCTGATGGCTAAGATCCCTCCGGCCCCGATACTCTTAAGATCTAAAGTGACCAGCATTCAGGTTTAAGGGCTGCTAAGTCTGATAAATTCAGGGAAAGAGAGAATGTGGGCACCTTAGGTCGCTCCACCCAAGTAAACACCACAGATAGAAAGTGAGGACCAGCCAGCAGTCTTGAAATGGAAGCTGAGGGGAGGAGTTGAGGGTCAGGGGAGCGTGTGTCCTAGTACCAGGAAACTAAACAAATGGCCTGTTTCTTTCTCAGGAGCGAGAGCTCCCAGGAAAGGTGGCCATGGCAGCAAGCACTCAATCCAGGTGAAGGGAGAATAAAACATTCCCAGGGTAGGCTGGGCCACCTGTCCAGGCTTGGGAGGAGCTCAACTCTAGGAAGCTGCTTGAAAGACTAGGAGACTGAGAAACCTGGGGCCCAGAACAGTCTTGGTCCCAAATGTGGCCAGGCCTCCTGGGTTAATGCAAAGGATGCTAGAAGGGAGTCTGGAGGGCTGGGTTCCAGTCCCAGTTCTGCTGCTGAACTGCTATGCGTCCTTGGGTCAGTCCCTCCCCCTGAGTTTTGTTTGTCAAATGAGAATGATGTCTCTGAAGACCTGAAGGTCCCCTCCACCTGAGACATTCTATAATCTTCCTGTCCCCTCCAAGTAGAGGGAGACTTAAAGCAAGGAAAAGGATATTCTCACAGCCTTCACTGCAAAGAGGATTCCTCCAAGCTTCAGCGCAGAAACAAAAGTGAAAGCAAAAGTCAGCAGCCAGAAGCATCCACATCCCAAGTCAGTAGTCCCCCATACCACATCCCCAGTCAGAAGGCAACTGAGCTTCTGAAACTTTCCTGGTACCCATGGAGACAATGCTTCTCATTCCCTTGACTCCCACCTTAATTTGGGACTGGGGGATGATAATCCACGCTAAAGCTCCTCACACTATGACCTCTCCCAGCCCAAGAGGTCTGCGGGCTTTATAGCCAGCCCTGCAGAGGGAGGGAGGAACATTGACCAGAAACACATCCTACTAAAATAGGAGCCCCCCCAAAGCTCCAGCTGCCTTCCACCTCCAGTCTTCCCATCCCTCACGCAGACAGGGAAACCCCCAGGACTCTGACATCTGGAGCCAGAGAGCCGGAAAGCTGCAGGTGGAGGGGCTTGAGTCCTGCCAATATCTCAGACACTTGCTCACTACTGGCAGAAGACCAGGCTGGCAGTTTGGGCCTCACACAGAACCCCTGAATCTCCCCCTTGTCCAGCAGTCATGGGTGAGGGCCATATATTACTCTCTGCTTCCTGTCTGGGCCTCCCATCCAGCTCCCCCATTCATTCCCACCGCCCCCACCAACCCACAGGCCAGCCTCTCTTAGGAGTCTTCTTGAGAATCCTTGCCAACTTCCAGGCAGCCAGGATTATCTTCTTAACGTATGGATGGGATCAGACGTTTAAGAAGATAATGTCTTCTTATCTTCTGCTTAGAGAACTTGAATGAAAGGGACATCTTTCTCCGTGGTGTTCACCTAGGACACCTAGGACAGTGCCTGGCCCACAGAAGGTTCTCAGTCAACATCTGTTGAATGATTCCAAGATAGCCCCCACCTGTCCAGTCCAGCTTATTCCAGACTTTCCATTCCCTTTACTTTTCCCCACCCTCCACTGCCTGAGCACCTTCACCAGCCCAGCACAGCCAGTGTGCCTTCCTATCTCCGTGCCTTTGCCTGTGCTGTTCCGTCGCCCAGCCACCCTTCCTGCCGTGTCCCCTGGGGAGACTCTAGTTTCCTGAGGAATATTCCAATATTCTTTTCTTCACAGGACCTCCTGAGTTAGTTCCTTTCTTCTGTTCTTGCCTAAGTCCCGTGATGTAACTTACTATACAGTACTTCATGGGCTAGGTATGAATACCCCACCTTGCCCTTGGAGGTTCTCATTCCATTTTACAGATGAAGAACCTGAGGCACAGCCAGAAAGTGGTGTGACCTAACTGTATTGCCAATTCTGTAACACTTGTCATGATTATCTCTGACTCTGTCACTAGGCTGGAGGCTCCCTGAGGCCCCTGGGCCCTGGATCACGGGGGCAGGCCTCAAGACACCCCATCAGGCAGCTGTCAGCTCAGACACCATGAGGAGCAGATGCACCACCAGCCTCCTCTCTTTCTCTTTCTTTGGCCTTTTCTCCCAGTCCGGGGGGTATCTCTCACAATCGGTGGAGGGAGATATTTGGAGAGACAGCGGCTCTGTCCTAACAGGTCAGGATTTCCGGAGTGTGAAAGCTGTTCACGGTCCCAGGGCCCACAGTTCCCTAGACAAGCTGTTCTCCAGGTAACCCATTCAAAAGGAAAGCCAGAAGCCTGCGCTAGAGGGGCAATCCCTCCACCCGCTGCCCTACCTCCGCAGGCTCTGGTCGCGGCCCCGCCCACCTCGTCCCCGCCCACCCGCTCCTGCAGCGCCCGGGTTCCCAGCACCCAGATCTCCAGCGCTGCTGGGAAGGACCCGCAGCCCCACGCACCGTCACAAACACCTCGGAGCGCTGTGCAGGGCACCCCACGGCTGCTCCCTGGGGAAACCGTGCAGGGGTCCAGGTCTCTGGCACCCATCCCTGGTCGGGAAAGAGACCATCATCCTGTAATGCAGACCTGGCGCGCCCGGCCACACACCTCCCGTTTGTGCGCTGACTTGAGATCTGATTTGGATTCTGTTCTCCACTAAGTCCGGTAACCTAACTTACTGCCGAGTGCTTGCTGGGTGCTGGGCATGAATGTCCCGACGCACCCTGGGACGTTATCATGTCCCCTCCACAGATGAAGAAACCGATGCGCTCATGGAGGAAGGTCTCAAGTTTCAATCCACTTTGCTCACGTCCGATTCTTTAACCTCGTGTTTACTGGTAGCGACACACACACACACACACGAATCTAAATCCCTAAAAGGACACACACACAAACACGAATCTAAATCCCTAAAAGGCCACGACTTCCGTAGAGGAGTAAGAGATGCGGGAGCAAAGCGCCAAGGTGGTTTCCCGAGACCTACTGGGAAGTTCTGCTCCTAACCACGCACTGAAGGTACCTCTGGCGAGGTCAAGGGTTCAAGGCCCGCCGGGAGGAGGGCACCTGTCCCCACCAACAGGGGGCCCCCAAGACCAGCTGCCTTTCCCAGGCCAGCTGGTCGGGCGCGGTGACGGAAGGCGAGAGTGTCCCGCACTGGCGGGGCGCGGTCGCTGAGGGTGCGGGGTGCGGAGTCCTCCCGGTGGTCGACCCCAGGCGGGAAGCGCTCGGCGGACGGACGGGCGACCCAGACGGCTCTCGACCCCCTTCCCCGGCCCTGAGGGGAACCCACAGCACTCCGCGGGGCGCGGCGGGCGCCAGGCGCGGCGGGTCAGACTCACCCGGGAGGCGGCGAGTCCGGCTCCGTTTCGGCCGGGCGGCCCGGGGCTGGGGGCTTCGCGACCCCCGCGGCGCCCCGGCCGGCTTACTCCGGGGGCGCCGCGATCGCGTGGCTGGAGTTCGGGGGATTCTCAGCCGAGGGAACGCGGCGGCGGAGAGAGCGCACTGCCAGCTCAGGGACCGGGATGGGGACGCAGGAAGCGCGGCTCCGGAGCGCCGGCGTGCGGGAGGGTGGGACCGCGGGAGGCGGAGGGCGGCGCCGGCCGGGAGCAGCCTCCAGCCCGGAGAAGCACCGCCCACCGGCCGACCCTCCCTCGCGGCCCTCGGCACCACCCCCCAGCCCGAGGCGCGGGATCGCCACTGCTCAGGGCGGGCGCCCACTCCCTAGCGTCCGCCGGGGGAGTGCGCAGTGCGTCTTGGGGGACTGAGCCTAAGTTCTTCCCGACGAGTTGGACGAGAGAGGATCGGGAGAAAATAGAGCCCTGATGCCCCCTCCTCCCTAGGGCCCAGGGAATCGATATGCCGGCGTGTGCGCGCGCGTGTGTGTGACGGGTGGTGGTCTGGGGATGTCTTAAGCCAGGAGTCCCAGATTTTAGGGGTTTAAGTAGAGCTGGGAGACCCGTTTCCTTCCCAGACCAGGCGCAGACGCGGAGGTACAGCTCCACCAGCCGCCGCGCGGCGCCTTTACCTGGCGAGACACTCACCTCTCCCCTTTCCTGGGGAGGCCGCCGCCTACCTCTCCACCTTCTGCCCTGGGCTGGTGCCCGGCGAGGTGAGTGACGGGCAGAGGTAGGGAAGGAGGAAGCGAGTTTTTTAAAAACCGAGTCAGCTCACGCCCTCGGCCAGGGTCTCCACCCGCGGCCTGGTCCCTAGGGCGCCCTCGGGACCGCACGCCTGAGTCCCGGCCCAGGTGGGGCCCATTCCGGGTTCCTGCGCGCGGGCACTGGATGGGGTCGCGTTGCGCCGGAGCCACCCTTGCTGAGGGCTCATCCCCAGGTTTGCCGAGAACTTTCTCGGCGAGGCGCCGGCTGGTGTTCTACCCCGCGAGTGGCAGGCGGGCAGCCAGTCTTTGCTCGAATCCCTGGAGGCCGCGAGCTGCTGCCGAGTCCTGGCTCCGGGGAGGGCAAACCCGAACTCGGCGCGGACGTCTCTTACCCGTGGCTCTGCTTCCGCCCCTTGGAGATTTGCCCTCAGAACCGCGTGGCTGTGGCGCCCGAACTAGGGTGAGCTAGGTTTAGCCAGACCACCAAAAAACGTGGATTCAAAACACAGAGGGAAGAGCCAGCCAGAAGGGGGCTGGCTCTTCCCTCTCTCAATCTTAGATTTTTATTTTTATTTTTAATTCCGAGAGAGGTCAGGCCGGGTCCCCTTTTTAGGTGAGCGTCCAGCCCTTTGAAGTTCAAACACCGAGAAACCTTTAGGCAGCTGGCGGGCGTCGCAGGATCGAGCCGAGGACTGAAGGCGCCTCCTACCGGGAATCCACCGCCTCCAGACGAAAATAGGCTGCAGTCAAGTTCACTTCCAAAAGCGGAATTCATGGGTACATAAGGTGTCCACGGTGTCCACGTGTGTATACCTGCCGAGTTGTAACATGTGGCTATCCCCGCCCCCCATTCTTGCACCCTAACAGTTCGACAGAACTTGGCGTCCACAAAATGGCAAGTTTGGGTCTGTCTTATGATTTGGGTAGTGGGAAGGCATTTGGGAAACAGTCTCCATGTCTATAACAGCAACTGCTATTCCTCACATTCTTACTATGAACTAGGCACGGGGTTTACCCCTCACATCCTCTGAACCATCTCATTTAAGCCTCAGAACCTGGGAGGCAGTTATTGGTTATGCCCAGTTTATAGAAGAGAAAGCTGAGGCTTAAGGAGGTGAGATCATTTTGCCCAGTGAAAGCACAGCTGGGAAGTGTCAGGATCTAGACCCAAGCTGGTCCACTCTAGAGCTTCTGCTCTCCCTGCTATAGGATAATTCCTCCTGTCTGCACATACTCTCCACCCTGAGAGAACATTCACCTTGCCTGGCTGCCTGCAAATGCTTAATAAGTATTTGTTGGATGAATGAAAGCCCCAAATAATAAGCCATGATTTTAGTGAAAGAGAACCCTTTGTGTAGGCAGGTACATATAATAATATGCTCCCATTTATGAGCTGTGTGTATTCATCCCAAAGTTTAGACAGTGCCTGTGGGGACCTTCTCTGGCTCCAAAGGAGGGGCAGGAAACAGTCACGTAGCTCTCAGATAAGACCAAGAATCTGGTTTTCATTTGACTCTGCAAGACAGACTTTGGAGAGGCCTGGGGGTGGGGGTGGGGGTGATGTTAATGTCAGAACAGCTTCCCTGGCTCCTAATCTGAAGACAAAAAGCTGCTGTACTTTTCCATGCCAGGATCATCCCAGATCCGCCCCACTCTGCTGCAGACCCAACTGGGCAGGTCTTGTTTATCACAGTATATCATCTTCAGAGTGTTCCATTTAAGCAGGCTCACCCTGATCTGGGGAGAGGCTGACAAAATTCTCAGCCAAAGCTGAGGCCTAGGCAAAACTGAAGAAGCTACCAAAGAAAGCGTGTTTCTCCTGATCATCCTCCCCTCCACAGCCCTCTCCCTCTACACGGTTAGTTTCTCTGAATCTTCCCAGGCTCTCCATGGCCCATTGAGCCTCACCTCAGTTAACTGCCAACTCCTTCCATTAATGTCAGCTGACAAGGGCCTGAGCTGTGTCCTTGGAGGAAAGATCCAAAGAAATGAATCTCAAATGGTAGAGGTTCTATTATTATAATAGGCAGTGAGGAGGATGCCAGTTACCATTGACTGAACCCTGTGTTTCACGTGAGCTGCATACATTGTGTTATTTGATCCCCAAAACAGCCCTAGAAGGAAGATTCTGTTATTCCAGTTTTTCAGGTGAGGCCGTTAAGACTCAGAGAAGTTAGGTACCTGGATCTGCTAGCAAGTGATAAAGTATTGGCGGGGTGCAGTGGCTCACGCCTGTAATCCCAGCACTTTGGGAGGGCGAGGCAGGTGGATCACTTGAGGTCGGGAGTTTGAGACCAGCCTGACCAACATGGAGAAACCCCATCTCTACTAAAAATACAAAATTAGGTGAGCATAGTGGCTCATGCCTTTAATCCTAGCTACTTGGGAGGCTGAGGAAGGAGAATCGCTTGAATCCGGGAGATGAGCTGAGATTGCGCCATTGCATAGCAGCCTGGGCAACAAGAGTGAGACTCCGTCTCAAAAAAAAGAGTATTTGAATCTGCGGCCTTTGCAGGACGCTTGCTCTAAATCACTATGCTAGGAAGCCCCTTTTGGAATAAGCAGAATAATGGCTGCCCAAAGATGTTCACAACCTGATCCCCAGAACTGGTTACTTTACGTGCAAAAGGGACTTTGCAGATGGGATCAAGGTAAGGATATTGGGACCGGGAGGTTATCGTTAATTATCCTGGTGAGTCCAATGTTGCAAGCGTTCCTACAGAGGGAGGCAGGAGGGTCAGAGTTAGAGAGGGAGGTGTGATGATAGAAGTAGAGATCAGAATGATACAGTTTCTGGACAAGGGTCAGTAGCCAAGGAATGTGGGCAGCCTCTAGGAGCTAAAAAAAGAAAGGAATGAAGCCTCAGCCAGAGCACCCAGCAGCTCAGCTCTGCAGATCCGTTTTGGACATCAGACCTCCAGAACTGTAAGAAGAGAGTAAATTGTGTTGTTCTAAGCCATGACATTTGGGATAATTTGTCACAGCAGCAGGAGGAAACTAATACATCCTGCAAACTCAGTCACCGAGACAGATATTCATTTCACCTGCCTGCCTTTTTGGTTGACCGTGCGCTGTAAGCCTCTGGAGAGGATCCACGATGTAGCCTACATCATGGATTTAGAAAGAAGACAGGATTCCATCACGTTAGTCCTTGGTTTCTGAATCCTCTGCCATTTGTGAGCTGTGTGACCTTGGGGAGATGTCTTGTCCTCTCTGAGCCTCAGTTTCCTCATGTGTAAAAACAGAGATGCTGATAATACCTATTTAGCAGGACCGACTCGGGGATCAGGTGAACCAGTAGGTGACAATGTGCCCAGTATGATCTGAAACATGAGCTGTTGGGAGCATTAGCCTGTCTAGTTCTGAAAGCCTGACTTCCAAGAGGAGAGGATGCCATTCTGGGAATTCCTGAGGCATTACATTTTTACTCTTTCTGTCTGAATGGGTAAATAACGCCAGGGTTTTTAAGTATTCGACTGTCCCTGGCCAGGACCCCTGTCTGTCATGCCTGATTTTCCAGGCACGCCAATGAAAGTGAGGTTGAAAAGTCAGCTCTTAGAAATAGATCAGCAGGCAGAGCAACTCACACATGTGCTCAGGAATATACATCCAAGAGTTTTCATTGCTGATTATTGTAATGGTGAAAAATGGTCACCAGCCTCAAGGCCCAGCACTAGGAGATATGCTAAGGAGATTGTGGTGTAGTTTCAGGCTGGCACACTGTGAAGTTGCAACAAAGAATGAGGGAGAGCTATCTGATACGGAAGAATGTTCAAGATGTATCATTCACTGAGAAAGGCAAGACACTAAATATGATACTACACAAACAACATTTGTTTTTTTGAGATGGAGTCTCACTCTGTCATCTAGGCTTGAGTGCAGTGGTGCTATTTCAGTTCACTGCAACATCCGCCTCCCAGGTTCAATCGATTTTCCTGCCTCAGCCTCCTGAGTAGCTGGGATTACAGGTGCACGCCACATGCCCGGCTAATTTTTTGTATTTTTAGTAGAGACAGGTTTTCACCATGTTGGCCAGGCTGGTCTCGAACTCCTGACCTCAGGTGATCTGCAAGCCTCGGCCTCCCAAAGTGCTGGGATTACAGATGTCAGCCACCGCACCTGGCACAAATGACTTTTTAAAAAGATGTAGACACATGTATATTTGATTATGCACAGAAAGACTATAGAAGGAATCAAGCCAAACAGGTTACCCTTAGAAACTGGGGAATGTGTGTATTGGGGAGGTAATTTTATTAATCAGTGAGAATGTGTTAATAAGTTGGCTGGGAGCCACCTGTGTTGCCTCCCAGGTGCATATTCTCCCGGGTCCTCCCTTGCTTGCTGTTCTCGGCCATCTGTCACTCTTTTCTCTTGCTTCGTTCTAAGCAGGTAACCCTTTCTTCCCACTGACTTTTTTTTATTTTGAGACAGGGTCTTGCTCTGTCACCCAGGCTGGGGTGCAATGGCATAATCTTGGCTCACTGCAGCCTCCATTTCCTTGGCTCAAGTGATTCTTCCACCTCAGCCTCCTGGGTAGTTGGGACTATAGGCATGTGCCACCACACCTGGCTAATTTTTTATTTTTTGTAGAGACAGGGTCTTGCTATGTTACCTAGTCCAGTCTCAAAATCATGGGCTTAAGTGATCTGCTTGCCTTGGCTTCCCAAAGTGCTAGGATTACAGGTGTGAGCCACGGTGCCTGGCCCCCACTTACTCTTAATGTGGGCTCATTTCTAAACCCGTGAGGAGCTGAGCAATGTCTGTGCTGTATGACTCTTGCCAAAGTCAGCAGTAAATCACGTATGTGCACTTTCAACCTGGCCTTTTCCTGAAGCAGTGCTCATTAGTCACTGGGAAGGGATGTGTCTTGCATGTAGGTTTCACTGGTGACATACTGGCCAGCCTCGCTGAAGGCTGAATCAGGTCTATGTGGCAGACAAATTGTGCTCACATAGCACAAAGCGAAGTTGGATAGTTGGACCATTAGTTGAAATAAAACAGTTTTGTCCCATTTCCTGAAAAATTTTGATTCTGGAAGTGTGTTTCTACCTGAGTTACCAGTGTAACTGGACCTGTGTAGACAGCCCAGAATGGAGCTTCTGAGCATGTCGTAGCGTTGGGGTACACATTCTTGAGACCCCTGATAGCAGCCAGCCAGCAATTCTATCTCCCTATCACTCCATCTTCTCTTGTGCTCCAACTTGTAGAAACTTCCGTCTAAGCCTCAGCATGATTGCAATTCATCTGGCTGCTTCCTAACTGATGTCCCGCTCCCAAACGCTCCCCCTTTAATCCATTCTCTGTATTGTAAAGTCAGCAATTCAGTGGGTGCCATTGTTAACTCGTGCAGTCCAGCCTCCTCTGCAAGGACCTGCAGGACTTCCTAAGTGGGTGGGCCCTTCTCATGAGCTCAGCCTCGTTACTCATCACCCCTCGGGCTCCATGCTCACTCATCTTTCCATGGGTCTCTTTTCCATCAGCAATGAAACCTTTCCCAGAAGCTCCCGGTAAAACTTCCTTGATACCTCCTTTGCCGGAACTGGGTCATATACCTGTCACTGCCAAGGATCCTCAAAACGAGCGTAGACTCTCAGGATTCACCTGGAGTCACCTGGGGGTTGGGGAAGACACCTGAACTAAATGGAGGTTGACAACAGGAAGAATGCCAGTGGCTGTCAGAAGCCCGCAGCGGGTCCCTGCAGCAGGTAACCTCGAGCCCAGGGAGCCTGTCGTGTTGGACTGGCACACACTGAAGCAGGAAAGCCAACCACAGAGGGAGCAGGAGAAAGAAGCAACCTGGATTGCCTCTGGCCCTCCAGTTCTGTTCTTCCCAGGAATTTTCTTTCCTGATGAGTTTCTGTTTCTTGTAATGAAAGGACGCTAAGAGAGTCTCTTTGAAGCTTTGACAAGCAGCTGAAGACTGCCAGAGGCCAGGCCTGGGTGCCCTGACCCTTTCTGCTAGTTAACTAACTGCCCAGGGTCCTGTGGGATGGAATTCCAAGGAAATCCACTTGCCTCTTGGATAAGTCAATGAAAATAATAGCAGCCAACCATCATCCAGTGCTGAACAGGGCCAAGCACACTGCTGCACACTGTACCAGGCCTGATGCATCTGATCAGGCTCATAACCACATGAGGAAGTTACTATATTTCCCCTTTCTACAGATGGGGAAACTGAAACACGGAGAGGTTAAGTGACTTGACCATGAACACTGAGCCAGCAAAGCTGGGGTCTAGGCCTGGCCCCAGGCTGCCTAGAGGCTGTGTTCTCGAAGCTTCTCTACCCTGGCTCTCATGGAACTGGTGCTTATGACACCCTTCAGATGGGACTCCAGGTTTGGAGAATGGATCATAAACCTGGGGACAGAGGGGCCCAAAGGGAGAAGCATGACAGTAAGTCCCACACCCGCCATGACCCTGGTCACCCACAGGCTCTGCCATGCTGCTGCAGTGGGATGATTCTGCACTTGATGAACATCTTTTTTTCCTCCCTTTTGTTCTTTCCAGATGGTGGCTCTTCTTCCTTTAGGGGAAACCTCATCCAGCAGAAAAGCAGAGATGCTTTTGACTTTCAAGAGTCAATACTTTGGCATTGCAAGAGCCTTTGAGTTTCAAAAGTAGAAGTCCCAGACCAGGTACGGTGGCTCATGCCTGTAATCCCAGCACCTTGGGAGGCCAAGGCAGGTGGATCACGAGGTCAGGAGATCTAGACCATCCTGGCTAACACGGCAAAACCCCGTCTCTACTAAAAATACAAAAAATTAGCTGGGGCATGGTGGCATGTGCCTGTAGTCTAGCTACTTGGGAGGCTGAGGCGGGAGAATTTCTTGAACCTGGGAGGTAGAGGTTGCAGGGAGCTGAGATCGCACCACTGCACTTCAGCCTGGGCAACAGAGCAAGACCCTGTCTCAAAAAAAAAAAAAGTAGAAATCCCAGAGTTTTCCAGGAATAAAATTTGTGTCATTAACAAAACATCTGGAAGGCTGAGCAAGATGCAAGAATCGTTTCCCCATGACCGAGATGAGGTCAAGTACCCTGGGCCAGGGGTCTGGGCAGAAGGTCTAAGGAGAATGGACGAGCCATGATGTGATGTGGGGCTCTAGGGAGTTGAGTCCCTCCCAAGCACCAGCCCTGCACTGGCTTCATGGGTAAATGCGACTTGCGGGCAAGCTCAGGAGAGCACCTGCCCCTCCCCAGCAAGGCACAGATGCAGTGGGGGAGGGAGTAATTGGCAGAGGGGTGAGGTAGCCTTGACGAGGTTTACCAAGCTCGGCAACATCTCCCATGTGCCCGAGAGGAGGGAGGAAGATGCTGAGAGAAGAAGAAAGAAGCCAGGCCTGGAGACTTCCAGGAGGCCTAGGCAGCGGCATCTCTCATCAGGAAGACGGCAGTGAGGCCAACACAGCAGCTGTCAGGGGAGACCAGATGCTGCCCCTGCCTGGGCCTTGGACCTTTGTGAGCCTCCTCTGCCCCAACAACAAATCTAGACACAACCCAGGACGAGAGGTAGGGAGGCCCTGATTAAATATGGCTAGGTGTCTTTCCACCAGCAGAATGGGGACTTCAAATAGAAAAGTAAGTACAGTTGTGAGAGTAGAAGTCATGTTTCTTGCACATTCAGATGTGGACTGGTCCTTCTGGTTTCCCTGCTGTTCCTCAAAGGGCTTTGCATGTTCTGCTCTGCTTTCTTGCTCATTTCTACACAAAGGAAGGAGGTTACCAGGTTTCCTTAGGAGAAACAGATGAGGCAGAGTCATAGAGCAGAGCTCACAATATTCTTCCTGCCCTTTCCTTTCTTTTTTTTTTTTTAAAGAGGAAAGAAAGAAAAAAAAAGAATGAAAGAGAGGAAGAAAGGAGAGAGAACAGGAATCTTGCTCTATTGCCCAGGCTAGAATGCAGTCTAAAAATGGGTATTGAAAACCTCTTTAATGCCAATAATTGTGCTTAACAATGGAGACAGGAAGGAATAAGGGAGGAAAATAACAAACAAGCAGCCAACCAATATTTCATTTAAGTCTGTGAAATGCTATGCAATTGCTGAGGAGTGATTTACTTCCAATTATGTGGTCACTTTTAGAGTAGGTGTGATGTGATACTGAGAAAATGTATGTTTTGTGTATTTGGGGTGGAGAGTTCTATAACTGTTTATTAAGTTTACTTGTTCCAGGTCTGAGTTCAAGTCCTGGATATCCTTGTTAATTTTCTGTCTTGTTGATCTAATATTGACAGTGTGATGTTAAAGTCTCTCACTATTATTGTGTGGGAGTCTAAGTCTCTTTATATGTCATTAAGAACTTGTCTTATGTATCTGTATGTATACAGGAGCACCTGTATTGGGTGCATATGTATTTAGGATCGTTAGCTCTTCTTGTTGCATTGATCCTTTTACCATTATGTAATGTCCTTCTTTGCCTCTTTTGATCTTTGTTGCTTTAAAGTCTATTTTATCAGAGACGAGAATTGCAACTTCTGCTTTTTATTTGTTTGTTTTTGCTCTCCATTTGGTTGGTAAATCTTCCTCCATCCCTTTGTTTTAAGTCTTTGTGTATCTTTGCATGTGAGATGGGTCTGGATGCAGCATACCGATGGGTTTTGGCTTTTTATCCAATTTGCCTGTCTGTGTCTTTTGATTGGGGGATTTAGTCGATTTAACTTTAGGATTAATAATAACGTATGTGAGTTTAATACTGCCATTTGATGCTAGCTGGCTGTTTTGCCCATTAGTTGATGTAAATTCTTCATTAGGTTGATGCTCTTTACTTTTTGGTATATTTTTGGAAAGACTGATACTGGTTGTTCCTTTCTATGTATAGTGCTTCTTTCAGCAGCTCTTGTAAAGCAGGCCTGGTGGTAATGAAATCTCTAAGTACTTGCTTGTTCACAAAAGATTTTATTTTTCCTTTGCTTGTGAAGCTTAGTTTGGCTGGATATGAAATTCTGGGTTGAAAATTATTTTCTTTAAGGATGTTGAATATTGGCCCCCACTCTCTTCTGGCTTGTAGGGTTTCTGCTGAGAGATCTGCTGTGAGTCTGATAGGCTTCCCTTTGTGGTTAACCTGACCTTTCTCTCTGGCTGCCCTTAGCATTTTCTCCTTCATTTCAACCCTGGTGAATCTGATGATTATGTGCCTTGGGGTTGCTTTTCTTGCGGAATATCTTTGTGGTGTTCTCCTGGAGTTGAATATTGGCCTGCCTTGCTAGGTTTGGAAAGTTTTCCTGTATAATATCCTGAAGAGTATTTTCCAGCTTGGATTCATTCTCTTCGTCACATTCAGGTACACCTATCAAATGTAGATTAGGTCTTTTCACATAGTCCCATATTTCTTGGAGACTTTGCTCATTCCTTTTTATCCTTTTTTCTCTAATCTTGTCTTCTCGTTTTATTTCATTGAGTTGGTCTTCGACCTCTCATATCCTTTCTTCTGCTTGATCAATTTGATTGTTAAAATTTGTGCATACTTCGCAAAGTTCTCATGTTGTGTTTTTCAGCTTCATTAATTCACTTATATCCTCTCTAAATTGTCTATTCTGATTAGCATTTCATCAAACCTTTTTTCAAGGTTCTTAGTTTCCTTGCATTGTGTTAGAACATGTTCTTTTAGCTCACAGAAGTTTCTTATTATCCACCTTCCAAAGCCTGTTTCTGACAATTCTCCATCAGGCCTTGTTCCCTTGCTAATGAGGAGTTGTGATCCCTTGTAGGAGGAGAGGCATTCTGGTTTTGGATGTTTTCAGCCTTTTTGTGCTGGTTTCTTCCCATCTTTGTGGATTTATCCACCGGTCTTCTTTGTAATTGCTGACTTACAGATTGTGTCTCTGAGTGGACGTCCAGCTTGTTGGTGGTGATGTTATTTCTGTTTCTTTGTTTTCCTTCGGCAGACGCCCCTCCCCCACAGAGCTGGACCGTCCCTGGTTCAGCTGTGCTTGCCGTGAAACTCTCAACCATCAGCGTTTCCAATTACTGTTTTATTGTGGGGGTGGGACCAGCCAAGCCCGATCACCTGGCTCCCCACCTCAGAGCCCCTTTTTTTCTTTTCCTAATTGAACGGTCGATTCTCTCCCAGGTGCCCCAGTCGCCCACTGAAAAGGTGCCGGGATCTATGCAATTTCCCGTGTGGTGACTGTGCCGGCTGAAACAGCGGTGCTGAGATTCGTGGCGCTTTTCTGCCCGGGAATCTCCCAGTCTGGCTCCCGGCTTCAGTCCCCCTCCCAATCAGCTGAATGGGTGACTGCCTTCTTGGAGCTCCAAATGCCAACTAAAAGGGCACCCAGTCCTGCATAGTCTGCTCTGAGAATCGCCGCACCGGCCGAAAGAGTCACGCTGGCAACCTGTGGGGCTCCTGCGCTGGGAATCTCCTGGTCCGTAAGCGACAAAAACTCATCTGGAAGTCTGGCGTCCACGCTCTCCTTGCGCCTTCACTGGGAGCTGCAACCCTGAGCTGCTACTAGACAGCCATCTTGGATCTCTCTCCTCTCTTCCTGCCTTTTCTACCAGTCTCTCCTTCCTACCATCTAAACTGTCCCAATCTCCTCCCCTGCAGAAAAGTCTCCCAGTATTGACACAGCAGAGTGCACGGTTCTTTGTACCTACTTGATAATGACCATAAACCCTGAACCAACAGTGTACCTGCTCTGACCCTACCTGTCATTGTGTCTACTTGGGTGGAAGTTCAGTATTACACAATGTTGTCTAGGTAGCAGTTGTCTTTGTGGTGACTCTGAGATCTTTAGATCAGGGTTTTGCAGCTTTGGCACCACTGGCATTCAGGCTGGGCAACTCTTTGTTGTTACCTGTCTGCTGCATTGCAGGATGCCAAACAGCTTCCCTGGCTCTACTCACCAGTTGCCAGGAGCACCCTCCTCCCCAGCTGTGACAACCAAAATGCCTCTAGACATTTGCCAACTGTTTCCCCTGATAGCAGGGGAACCAGCCCCAGTTAAGAACTGCTGCTTAGCTGGGCACAGTGGCTCACATCTGTAATCCCAACACTTTGGGAGGCTGAGGTGGGTGGATCACTTCAGGCCAGGGGTTTGAGACCAGCCTGGCATGGCAAAACCCGATCTTTACAAGAACAAAAATTAGCTGGGTGTGGTGGTAGGTGCCTGTAGTCCCAGCTACTTGGGAGACTGAGGCGAGAGGATTGCTTGAACTTGGGAGATTGAGGCTGCAGTGAGCTGAGGTGGTGCCATTGCACTCCAGCCTGGGTGACAGACGGAGATCCTGTCTAAAAAATAAAAACCAACCAAACAGAAGAACTGTTGCCTAAAACATTGAATGCGGGATCCTCGGCATTGATGTCCAGGATGGTTTGATGTCCAGGAGGATAGACAGCAAATGTAGTCAGAAAATCAGTGGTCTTGAGGTCTAAAGACCTGGGTTCAAGCCCCAGTTCCATCACTTCCTGCTTGTGTGATTTTGAGCAAGACATATAGCTTTTCTGAGCTTCAGTTTCCCTATATGTGTATTGGGGAATAATAAATGATTCTGTGTTTGTTTTGTTCACTGCAATACTCCCAATACCTAGAATAACGCGGGGCACATAGGAAGTGCTCAATGCAGATGGGTTGACTGATTAACTCTATCTCTGCTCCACCTCCCCCACCCCCAGAGCTTCTGCAGGGTTCAAATGCAAAAGTTTGTAAGAACTTCCATGATGGAGGCGTTGCAGGAAATACTTCATCCCATTCAAATTCAGAGAAACAACAGCCACCAGCTGATAGCTGACATTTTCTAAATTAATTTTATAAACCATAAAGATTTGTAATAGTCAAAAACTGGGAACAAACCAAATGTCTTTCAATGGTAAATGGTAAAACTGTGGTACATCTATACCATGGAATACTACACAGCACACACACCCACAAATCGGCCTGGCAGGATTGCTCACACCTGTAATTCTAACATTTTGGGAGGTGAAGGAGGGTTGATGACTTGAGGTAAGGAGTTGGAGCCCAGCCTGGCCAACATGGCAAAACCCCATCTCTACTAAAAATACAAAAAATTAGCTGGTTGTGGTGGCACACACCTGTAATTCCTGCTTCTTGAGAGGCTGAGGCTTGAGAATTGCTTGAGCCCGGGAGGCAAAGGTTGCAGAGAGCTGAGATCGTCACGCTGCACTCCAGTCTGGGTGACAGAGCAAGACTCTATCTCAAAAAACAAAACAAAACCCCTAAGTGGTTGATAGATGCAACAACCTGGATAGATTTGAAGGGAATTGTGCTGAGTAAAGAAACAGCAATCTCAGAAGGTTACATACTCTATGATTCTATTTATATAATATTCTTGAACCAAATTTTACAGATGAAGAACATTGCCAGGGGTTGGGGATGAAGGTGGCCATGGTGTGGTCACCTGAGGGAGCTCGTGTTGATGGAACAGTTCTGTATTTTTAAAACACGTTTTATTTTTAATTTTTATAGTTATATAACGTATATATTTATGGGATGTATGAGATATTTTGATACATGCATACAATGTGTAATAATCACGTCATGGTGAATGGGGTCTCCATTGCCTCAAGCATGTCTCATTTCTTTGTGTTATGAACATTCTGATTCTCATGTTTTAGTTATTTTAAACTGTACTATAAATTATTGTTGACCGTAGTCAACCTGTTGTGCTATCAAATACAAGATCTTATTCGTTCGTTTATCTCATTCAAACTATATTTTTGTACCCGTTACCCACCCGTCTTCCCCGTCACTCCCCATTGCCCATCCTACTGTCTGATAACCATCATTCTACTCTGTCTCTATGAGTTCAATTGTTTTTTTTGTTTTTATTTTTTGAGACGGAGTCTCGCTGTATCGCCAGGCTGGAGTGCAGTGGTGCTATCCCCGCTCACTGCAACTTCTGTTTTCTGGTTTCAAGCAATTCTCCTGCCTCAGCCTCCTGAGTAGCTGGGACTATAGGCACGCACCAGCACACCCGGAAAATTTTTTCTATTTTTAGTAGAGACGGGGTTTCACAATGTTGGCCAGGATGGTCTCCATCTCTCGATCTCATGATCTACCTGCCTTAGCCTCCCCAAGTGCTAGGATTATGGGTGTGCACCACCACGCCTGGCCTATTTTAATTGTTTTAATTTTTAGCTCCCACAAATGAGTGAGAAGATGTGAAGTTTCTCTTTCTGTGCCTCACTTATTTCACTTAACAAAATGACCTCCAGTTCCAATTATGTTTTTTGCAAAGGACAGGATCTCATCCTTTTTCATGGCTGAATAGTACTCCATTGTGTATGTGCACTGCATTGTCTTTATCCATTCATCTGTTGATGGACACTAAGGTTGATTCCAAATCTTGGCTATTGTGAATAGTGCTTCAGTAAACATGGGCGTGCAGATATCTCTTTAATATACTGATTTCCCTTTTTTTTTTTTGAGTTGAGATAGAGTCTCACTCTGTCACCCAGGCTGGAGTGCAGTGGCGCAATCTCGGCTCACTGCTGCCTCCGCCTCCTGGGTTCAAGTGATTCTCCTGCCTCAGCCTCCTGAGTAGCTGGAGCTACCAGCACGTGCCACCATACCCAGCTAATTTTTGTATTTTTCATAGAGATGGGGTTTCACCATGTTGACCAGGATGGTCTCAATCTCCTGACCTCGTGATCTTCCCACCTCAGCCTCCCAAAGAACTGGGATTACAGGCATGAGCCACTGTGCTGAGATTACAGGCATGAGCTGCTGTGCCCGGCTGATTTCCTTTCTTTTGCCTTTATACCTAGGAGTTGAATTGCTGAATCATGTGGTAGCTCTAATTTTAGTTTTTTGAGGAACCTGCAAACTGTTCTATGTAGTGGCTATACTAATTTACATTCCCACCAACAGTGTATGAGGGTGCCCTTTTCTCCATATTCTCTCATTAGTTTTGTGGGGCTTTTTGTTTTCCTGGAGATAGAGTCTTGCTCTATCTGCCAGGCTGCAGTGTAGTGGCTCCATCTCCGCTCACTGCAACCTCCACTTCCTGGATTCAAGTATTTCTCCTGCCTCAGCCTCCCAAGTAGCTGGGATTACAGGCACCTGCCACCACACCCGGCTAAGTTTTGTATTTTCAGTAGAGACAGGGTTTTGCCACATTGGCCAGGCTGATCTCGAACGCCTGACTTCAGGCGATCCACCCACCTTGGCCTCCCAAAGAGCTGGGATTATAGGCATGAGCCACCGTGCCTGGCCCAGTTCTGTGTTTTGGTTGTGGTGCTGGTTACACAAATTTACACAAATGATAAAACTGCATGGAATCACACACAGGAGTGTGATCTACACAAATGATAAAACTGCATAGCATCATACACACATGAATATAGGTGAAGCATGAAACCGATGCTATAGAATAAGCTCTGTGGATTACACCAATGTCAGTTTCCTGGCTGTGATATTGCGCCATAGCTATACAAGATGTACCACTGGGGGAGGCTGGGTGAAGGGCATGAAGATCTCCCTATATATATATTTCAATTTCCTTTGAATCTGTAATCACTTTACAATAAAGACTTTTAACCCACATAATAAATACATACATACAGAGAGGGCAAAAAATTATCAAAAGCATGTGTGGTGTCAAAAAAGTTAAATTCCCCAAATTACCAGAGGACGGTTGAGACTCAGACCACAAATCAAGCTGGTAGGAAATAGAACTGGTTTTCCATGACTCAGTCTAATTTATCTTATGAGTCCCCGCTCTGCCAGGTGGTGGAAATGTTTCCCTCCCCCTTTGGTTGGAATCCCATCTAAGTTCGGAGGGCCTGCTGCAGCACCAAAGCTGCCCCGCCCGGAGGACACCTGGTCCCTGTTCCTGGACTGGCTGCCAGCCTTCGGTCTCTGCAAGCCTCTGCCAAGCTGTCCTTCTCCCCAAACCCAACACCATGCTGTGCCTGATGGAAACCTTGCAGGAAGACAAGCCACTACCTGGTGTCCAGCAATTCAAATGCAGTCCTCAGATGTTTTGTTTGGTCCATAGAGTACTTTAAGTCACTACTTGCAAATATTTGAAATGGGGCATTTTCACATACAAGTGTAGATATCTGAGCTCCTCCTCTTTGCTCATGTCGCCTGGGGCAGCAATCAGCTGGACCCCACTGTGTGGCACCTGCCCCTTGAACCCAGGCACACCTCCTTGTCGGTTCATCACAGTCCGCACCATGTCTGACCCCTTCATTTGGCTGGATTCATTCTTTTTTTTGAGACAGAGTTTCACTCTTGTTACCCAGGCTGGAGTGCAATGGCATGATCTCGGCTCACTGCAACCTCTGCCTCCTGGGTTCAGGCAATTCTCCTGCCTCAGCCTCCTGAGTAGCTGGGATTACAGGCACCTGCCACCATGCCCAGCTAATTTTTTGTATTTTTAGTAGAGACAGGGTTTCACCATGTTGACCAGGATGGTCTCGATCTCTTGACATCGTGGTCCACCCGCCTCAGCCTCCCAAAGTGCTGGGATTACAGGCGTGAGCCACCGCACCCAGCCCTGGATTCACTCTTTTACAAAACCTGCTGGCAACGTGGAAACTTGAGGTGGCAGCCCTCACTTGTCCTCACTTCTGTCCCACTGTGGGGTCTCTGGGGATCATTTTTCTCCTGCTCCTTGCTGTGGTGCAGAGAAACTTTGCGGCGCTATCTCAGACCCACCTGCTGAGGGATGGCCCTTCGATCTAGGGCCTTGCTGCCTCCTATGCCCACCCGAGCTCCACACAGGAACGGGTCACAGTGGGACACAGCCCAGGGACCTCGCTCTCGGGTTGCCTTGCTTGTTTTCAGACCTTATCCTCCTGATCCGAGAACTTTGATCTCAAGAGGCTGAAGCCTTGCAGGTGTGGAGCGTGCGTCCCCTTCCCTGTAACACCACATCTGTTCCATTGTCAACCTGCGCCAGTCCTTTCTGTTTCTCCCCATCTCTAGACTGTTGAAAATTTAAAAAAACCCAGGACTCTGCCTCCCTTTTCCTACTGTTCACCCCTTCCTGGAGGCAGTAAGCTAACAGCTGCCTGAATTTTAGGATGTTGGGGCAATAGACAAAACTGGAAATGAGACATGCATTGGTTAATTCAAATATATCACCCTCATGATCTTACTCCCCATGCCGGACACTGCGCTAAGCATTTAGACCCATTTTCTCCCATTTCCACGTCAAAGAGGAAATGGGGCTCAGGGAGATAAGTGTTGGCCCAAAGTGGACAGCCAGTGAGGGGCAGTGCTGGGACTTGAACCTGGAGTCCATCCTCTTCACCACTTGCTTCCCACAAAGGTGTGGCTTTATTTCACAGCCCCTCTTATTGCTTCCCACACTCCCAGGTCCCCACGAATCTCCACAGGGCAGAGACCAGTGGGAATCGTTACCTGGGTGAAATCCTTACCTGGTTGAGCTTTTCTTTTCTTTTCTTTTTTTTGTGGGGTAGGGGGAGTCTTGCTCTGTCTCCCAGGTTGTAGTGCAGTGGCATGATCTTGGCTTGTTGCAACCTCCACCTCCTGCCGAGTTCAAATGATTCTTCTGCCTCAGCCTCCTGAGTAGCTGGGACTACAGGTGTGCACCACCACACCCAGCTAATTTTTTGTATTTTTAGTAGAGACGGGCTTTCACCATGCTGGCCAGGCTGATGTCGAACTCTTGACCTCATGATCCACCTGCCTTGGCCTCCCAAAATGCTGGAATTACAGGTGTGAGCCACCGTGCCCGGTCCTGGTCGAGCTTTTCCTAAAGCCCACCTCTGAGGGTGGCTAGCCCATCCCTGGCTGATTGGGGTGGACAGGGTTACTGACACAGTAAAACGTCCTAACCCTTGACATCCCTCCCTCAACCCCAGCGGGAGAGTCCAGCCAGCCAGAGCAGATGGATCAGCTGCCCAGAGAAAGGCAGGGATCAAAATGGACAAGACCAGAGGCTGAGTCAGAGCTTTGGCAAATCTAGTTACAGGGACAGGGGAGAGGCTGGCAGCCATCAATTTGTAAATCCCTGCAAGCTGGACAAAGCCATTTCTCGGAAAATCCAATTAGAATTCAGACCCTTGAGGGCCGCCCTGGATTTTCTGCTCCTCAGCCTCCTGCAGACCCCTTGGGCCGTCCCATGTCAGAGGGCCCTGCTAGTGACAGACGAGCTTGTTAGTCACTGTGCTCCCTGACAGCTGCTGTCTCTGAGCACTCAGGCAGGAAGGCATTCCTTTGTCACACCGGGTGGGCAGGAACACCTGATAAGCCATCTGGCCAGCCTTTTGTGTGCCAGGGGGCTTTGCTTGGAGGCTGGTATTCTGAGCACTGTGCAGCCTGTGGGGCTGGGAACAGTGGCTGAGTCAGTGCAGCCCCAGGCAGAGACTGACACACTCTGATGTGTTCGAGTTCTCTCATTCTTGGGCCCTCACACCTGGGACTAGTTTGGATGGCACTATTGACCTACTGACCCTTTATTTGACCAGAAAGGAGAATGGTTTTTTGTTTTTTTGTTTTTTTTTTTGTTTTGTTTTTGAGGTAGAGTCTTTCTCTGTTGCCCAGGCTGGAGTGCAGTGGCACAATCTCGGCTCACTGCAACCTCCGCCTCCTGGGTTCAAGCGATTCTCCTGCCTCAGCCTCCCAAGTGGCTGGGATTACAGGCATGCGTGCCCCACTACACCCAGCTAATGTTTGTATTTTTAGTAGAGACGAGGTTTCACCATGTTGGCCAGGCTGGTCTCGAACTCCTGACCTCAGGTGATCCACCTGCCTCGGTCTCCCAAAGTGCTGGGATTACAGGTGTGAGCCACTGCGCCCGGCCGATGAATATTTACATATATATATACTCATGTAGCCACCGCCCAGATCAAAACCAAGAGCGTTCCCTGATCCAAAGAAGATTCTCTTGTATCCTCTTCCAGTCAAAACCCCTAAAAGTAATCTCAGCTTGAACCTTCATCACCATATATTAGTTTTGCCTACTTTTGGACTTCAAATAAACAGAAATCATGCAGTATGTGCTCTTTTATGTCTAGCTTCTTTCATCATCATTGAGGCTGGGAGATCCAGCCAGGGTGTTATGTGTAGCTGTATTTTTCTTCATTGCTGTGTAATACTCCATTGCATGAATATACCATAATTTATATTTTTATGCTCCCATTGATGAGCTTTAGGGTTGTTTCTAGTTTGGGGCTATTACGAATAAAGCAGCTATGGTCATTTTTGCACATATCTTTGGCACCCAGAAGCATTCATTTCTGCCAGGCATGCACGCAGGGGAGTTTTCAAACCTTGTAGTCATTCTACTTGAAAAGGGAAAAGGGAGCAAGTAATGTGTCCCTCACCTCCCCCATCCCATCCCCACTCTACACCAGGCTCTGGGATCCAGGTGTGGGAGCTGAGAGGCAGAAAGAAGAGAGAGGGCACCACGTCGCAGCAGCCACATTCAGAAG